AGACACTTATTTAAGAAGAATATTTCACAGTTTATTGGTTTGTCTGTGTTTTCAGATCATCAGTGTTTCTTCCACAGTGTAGAGAGTGCATGGTTGCCAGATTGCAAAGTAAAACACCAGGCAGAAAATGTATTCTTTAAGATAATCAGGCTGTTTTTGGGCACAATTCTCCCCTTCTGACAAAGTAAAGTCACAATAGTCGTGATGGTTCTAGATTATCTTATCAGATGTTCCTGTGGTGCCATGAGTGTTAAGAGTGACCGAATCTGCTCGGAAGAACTTCGGAGGGCCGATCTCAAATCATAAATATCCAGAAATCCTGATGTCGGGGGAACCCCGAGGACAAACGCACTCTGTAGTTTGTCAAGTGGAACAAAACGATACCCAATCAGAAAGCAAGCTGACGGAAGCATAAGACAACATCAACCACACCAAATTATTTTATTTTTTCTGTAAAAAGCAGTCCAAACACCATTATCACCATTTTTTTAGCCCATCGTCCGCCATGTTTGTTTACTCTAAAGTCAAGTTTGACTACGAAAGGTTTTGCAAGATTTCCCAGCTTTAAGTTTGTGACATCTGGCAACTGCAAACATGAACCCTTGTAGTAGAGGCTAGTACAGCAGTCTGTAATATTTTGTCTCCTTTTTTCGTCAAAAATAAATTGTCATTTTAGTCTTTCAGTCTAGCCTTTTTTCGTCAATGACATAGCATCTTAATATAATCACTAACTTCGTGTCGTCTCGTCATCTACTAGGAAAAAAGGTTGTCAACCAGTTTACGTTAACGAAATTAACACCAACAAAACAATGATATTAAATTATGATGTACACAATGAAAATTGAAGTCATTTTGAGGTTAGAATGAATCAGTATTACATTATTGTTTTTAAAGATAAACTCTAAGTGAAAGTTAGCCAAGATGATGGTAAAAGGTAATGTTAAATGAACATGTACAACTAAATATACAATCTGCAGATATCAATAAATAATACTGTTTTGATTCTGACAATACTAAGTGCAGGCCACAAGACAACATGCTAGCTTAAGCCTAGTTCACACTGTATGATTTTAAGCCTGATTTAAGCACGGTTTGCAAATCGTTGAGCCTTTGTTATCACGTGCAAATTGTAGGGGATTAGCGGGCGATGAAAGCTCGCCAATCTCGCTAGCCAACAACGCATCAAAGACGCGTTGCAGAGCCCAGAAAAATATCCAGCATGATAGATATCCAGAGCTGTCGCACGACTCAACCTCAATGTTGTCATGAGCTACAGCCAATCAGAGCAAGGCATGGGTTGAGGTCACCGGGTATTTATTTTATTTATTTTTTTTGCACTTTTTCTCAGAGCAAATCATGTTTGCAGCACTAGTTTCTGTCTGACGTCCAAATTCACGTATTGTGTTCTTCGTCTTCTTCCCTGGGTATTGGCGCGCATGCTGTTTCGTGTCATTTACGGTTCATTTTATCGCACGATTTTTTATGACAAAACTTGGTTTGAAGACAATCGTTGGGTGACAGAGTTGTTTGTCAACTCGTGTAGTGCGTTACCTCTTGTTGCGGATCAATCACATTGTGTCGTGTGGCAACATGGCATCATGACTTTGCATAAACATACACGCCACTTTCAAGTCAAGTGGCATTTTATCTATACGCATTTTGAGCCACACCAAAACAAACCGTCATCCTTTGCTTGTATGTCTACGCCGTTAAATGTCCGAGCGGAACGAAGCAAAATTTAGATCTACATCTGGGGAGCGATATTTTTTGTTCCTACGATTGTAGGGGAAGACTCATAAATGTTATTAACTCCAGTGACGGGTAGGTTTAGGGACGGGGTTGGGGTAGGTTCTATATTTATATACACGGTAATGTAACGTTAAGTCAACGGTGTCAACATGACATCATGACTTTTGCGTAAACATACACGCCACTTTCGAGTCAAGTGGCGTGTTATCTCTACGCATTTTGAGCTATCCGCGTGTATCCACGTGTATGTCTACGCCATTAACGTCCGAGTGATTCCGCGTGTCTGTACACGGCACGCCGTCAAATGTCCGCGCGAAACAAAGCAAAATGTAGATCTATATCTGGGGATCGACCTTTTTTTTCCTAGGATGGTAAGGGAACAGTCATAAATGCATTAACCCCAGTGACGGTTGGGTTTAGGGATGGGGTTGAGGTAAGTCATATATTTATATATACATGACGTTAAGTCAACGGCGTTCATAAACACGCTGAAAAGCGATTATGCGTCTTGATAGCACGCCTCAAATGGAAATTTACAAATTGGCGTGTCATACACACGCTACTTCATGAGATCAGTCTGACGGTGTTCATAAATACGTTGAAAAGCGATTATGAGTGTTGATAGTATAGCAAAAATGGAAATACGAATTGCCGTGTCATACATACGCTATTTCATGAGATCAGTCTGCGTGTGGTGTGAACAGCTCAATAACTTTAACACTCCTGATTTCACAGAGAGCAAGTCATGTAGTGTGAACCGCACGGTTCAGCGCGACGTTTTAAAAGCATGTAGTGTGACTGTGAACTAGGCTTAACTTGAAAATTGAAAACTCGATTTTAGCACATAAATGGTTAGCAAACCAATTACAAGTGGCCTGATTGTCCCATTGACATCATGAAAAGTGCTGTCATAATATTGTTGGCGTAGCCTGGTTCCACATCCTTGTACAATGTGACACAACTTGTCTGATCCTTTATTCATAACCAAAGATTGACAGAAAAATTCATTAAAGCAATAGCGCTAAATAAAAAATGTTGATAAACTTTCATGAGGCAATCCATGTCGATTATTCTGATGAAAGCGGACTGAGCGCTCTTTTAGAAAAGATTTCCCAAACACGCACGCACAAAACAGACATTTCCGTGTTACAACTGAGAGCGATCATTAAATATGCCCCGAAATAATTACAGAGAACATCTCTCTTCAAAGTAAACTTGAAAAGCCATACATCCAGCTATACAAGATGGAAAATTAATTGATTCTCATCTACGTCTGAGAGCAACGTTTATCCAAAACAGAGCAAATCAGACGCTCTTCATAAGAACAACGTCCTGTTTCTGTGAGCATGCCTGATTCCCTTTATATGTAGCTGAAAACACCTCTATGAAGGGGGCTGAACCATCTGGATGAAATCAAAACCATGCATTCAGACCTACTCGCGGCCTCTTAGACACACCAATAAACTCAGGAACCCGGAGCAGTGCTCAAGATGTTGGGGGAAAATAAGAGATGGAGACCCAGACCAGAATCTGCTTTCATTAATTTCCACTCCAAAAAACACAATGCGCAATTTCTCGTAGCATTCCGGCTAATTTGTGATATCTGATCGAATCTTCTGAACCTGTGGACCGGAGCCGTGCGCACTAAACTTTGATGAACCAGAACACACATATCGGTTTAAAACTAATTCAAGTCAAGAATGACGCAATAAACTTGACATTACTGATTCGTAGAGCCCTCATAGTGCACTTTTTCATGTAAACTTGCCATGGATGCCAGTGGATGATGTTTAAACTTCATTAGTCCATCCTAAAAACCTAAGCTGACTATGAAACCAGTTCCTTGAGGTTAAAAGCACCTTTGCTTGACTAGTGCCGACAATTTTTTTTAAATGAGACAACATTTTTAAATTAAACACGATAAAAAGTAACCTGCAGTGTTAATGGCACCAACACTTGAGGACCCGTCCACATCCCTTGCACTAAACATGAATGATGGACACAATACAACTTCACATTAATAATTATAAGAGACTAAATTAAAATGTCAGTGAGAGTTTCTTGGAAAGATAACCCATTGTAAAGGACTCTGTAAGGGACAACGCAAACTTTTGGGACGCTTTTCACGCAAAAACTTCAACATAACATTGAAATGAGTATTCTTAAAGTGGAAAGCAACATCTGAATGTTGAAATGACTCAAGCCAGGTTTGAAAAACCTCACGAATTACACTTTCCTTCAGAATTTCCATACAAAGATGGCATTGTTGTTAGCAGAAACTTATCTCACCTTGACAAAAGGATGCTGATCTATTATACATCATCTTCCCAGTCTGTCCATGCAGTTTAACCTTATAATATTTCCTTATGTGTCCACAACAGTTGAAAATCATCTCAGACTCCTCACATACTATTGCAGTCTCCAAGTCTGACACAGTAGCCTATGACCCTCATATGACGGATTTATGAATATTATAGGTCACTTTTACAAGACTTTATTACATTTAAGGTTTGTAAGATTGTTTCTATGGCAACAGATTGTACACAACAGTGGAAAGATGATCACATGGTGATGTAGGGCCATAAAATATTACACTATGCAGTGTGGAAAAGTCACCAAAACTTGAAGCAACACGAGTTTTCATAAACAGCCGGTGCTTTAACTTACCCTTCAACAAAACACTAAATATTAAAACATAATCAGGGGATATGCACGTATCGGTGTTACTTGTAGCAAAGCAAATGTTAGAATTGCTCAAATATCTTATCAGTCAGTTTTAAAACGTAAAAGAAAACGTGATTAGATCAAAAATAACAGAGTTCAAACCAAACACGATCGCGTACTGAACATCTCCAAAAACTTTGTCTGAAATTCACGAGAAAAAGACTCGGATGTATTTATCCACCAATTTAACTCATAAACAACAGATGCACGACAACTAATGTTGATGCAAAAGATGCACAAGCCACATAATGAGAGATGGAAGCGTGCAACATCACTCAGATTGGATGCATTGGACAGTTCAAGCGTTCACGTGCGCACCCAAACTTAAATAAAATCGAAATGCATGAACACCTAAAACCATTAAAGTGCCACAACCAGCTGTAAAGTTAGAAAGATCCTGGGAATATCACTCCCGAGAACAAATTCACACTAAATACACCTTCAAACAATAGTACGCGCAGTTTTAGAAAGTTCCGAGTCCGCAATAAGCAAAGCGAGACTCTTTAAAGCGCGCGCAATTCACTTACTTTTCTCTCGCTTGACTATCAGAAGGGACGACAGCTCCTTTACCTTTGGCGTACATGCTGGATTCTGTTTTAAGACTTTTACCCCACTCAACACCTGTCAAAGAAAGCAGCCAGGAAAACGTTCTATCTCCATAGCTACCCCCTTTAGTGTTTTCCCTCTCCCCCACCTCCTCCTCCTCCTCCTCTTCTCTCCCTTTTTTTTTTTTTTTTTTTTTTTTACATCTCCAACATTGGCCACAAATCAGGCACAGTTTCTATTGGGGGGACTTGAAACAGGTCGCTGGTGATTTTTTTTCTCTCTCGCGCGCTGTTCCAGGAATGTGTTCTGCCTCCCGCTGCGCCAGGAGAGGTGGGGGCCTCTTAAAGGGGAACGCACACTCTTCCCGTGTTTACTTGGCACAGGGGCTGAAATGGAAAAGACGCTAACGTTGCCTCGGGCCTTCGTGCGTGTATGACTTTGAGGTTTTGAAAGTAAGAATTTACGCTTGTGTTCCAAGATTGGGAATCTGAGGCATTGTTATGTCCATTATTTTAACTTAAGGTTTGTTTGACAATTTGTGATATAATCCTGTTTTAAATATTAAAGATGACTAAAATTCCTTGCTATCTGATATCCATTTTGTGGTTGATTTTGGATTGTGTTTGTAACATTTAAAGTCATCGTGAAATAGGCTACAAACCGACCACTCTTAAGTATTTATTATAATTTTTTAATCTATGTACATTATTTTGTTTAATGCATTTTCCTTCCTAATCTTTAATTAAATTAACTTCCTTTTGCTACAACATCTCTTCTCTGATGATGTTTTTTGGAACGTGGGGGGACAACTTGATGAGACCGCCTTAAGAATAGTTCACCTAAAATGAAAATTATCCCATAATTTACTCTAGGTTAGGGTGACCAGATGAGATTGGCTAACATTCGGGATGGATTTCGGATGACGGGGGTTGGGGGGATTGGGGGGCTACTATGGATACATGGATACTTTCCCCTCCTGGTACCTGCAGAGACTTTTTAGCAGTGTGTTTGGGGCCCCGTCCACACTACAGCGTTTTCGTTTAAAAACAGAGACCTTTTGCTACGTTTGCACCTCCCGTCCGAACTAAAACGGAAAAAACGAACACCTAAAACGGAGAAGTTTAGAAACGCTGCAGCTCCATTTTGCGTTTTGAATCTCCGGAGAGCGTTTTAGTGTAGATGGAACAAAATGGAGGAGTTTAGAAACGATGACGCAGAGGCTGACGCTCGGCTCTATGATTGGGTGTCATCAGTCATGCCGTATCCTTCCCTGATTCGTCAGCCACAGTTTACACTGGCACGAGCATGCCCAGTGTTGGTGAATGGTCACGTGATCCGCATTTTCAGTCATTTTAATGTGGAGGGAGATCAATTCTAATACGCAGATAAAACGCTGGTGTGGACGGAGATCGTATTTGTTTTAATTCTCCATTTTTAAACGAAAACGCAGTAGTGTGGACATTTTTTAATGTTTTATCAGACAAAACCTAGTCAAGATTTTGCTTTAGTATAATTTTCGTGGCAATTAGGGCCGGATTCGGGACAACAGCTTAGATTTCAGGACTGTCCCGAATTTTTCAGGACGTCTGGTCACCCCATCCTAGATGTACATGACTTTCTTCTTTCAGCCGAACACAATCTGAGTTCAATAATATCCTGGCTCTTCCAAGCCTTATAATGGCATTGAATAGTGCCTGAGTTTTTGAAGCTCCCAAAAGTGCATCCATCCATCATTAAAGTAATACTCCAGTGGGTTAATAAATGCCTTCTGAAAAATATCCATATTATAATCACTGGCTTCTGGCAACGACTGCATGAACGTTAATGAGAGAGTCGAGTTCCGGAAGAAGAGTGACCTCTGACTCGACGTAGCTTCTCTTTTCTTATATCAAATTCATCCAAAGTTTTCTTTAAAACTTTTTGTTTTGGACTTCTGATTCGGGACCGGCATTTTGTTTTGCGTTTGTCATATATCACCTAAACTTACGAAAACTTATGAAATGTACTTCACATCACATGCACTGTATACATACCCTAGAACTGTACACTTAAACTGTACACTTAAAACCGTACACTTAAACTGTATTTTTTGGGCTTTAGGGGGGAAATATATGGATTCGAGGAACAAGACTGTGTATCATCCTAAGAATTAGCTCTGGGACTCATAATAAAGCTTAATGGTTACAAACATATGGAAAGAGTCAAAATGCAGGTGTGTTTGAATGCTTGCACATCCTGCATATTGTACATTTTAGGAGCATATAGGATATTGTGGCCAACTCAACTGGTGAATCATTTTCAATAAAAAGCAAATAAGCAAATAAGAATGAAATTCATCATCTGAAAGTTATGCCTGTCTGTTTTATCATCTTCATAAAGTCTCATTTGCTGAAGGAGCATGCTTAATGACATCAGTGGGTGAACCAAGGCATAAAGTATGATTATATTCTGTCGTAATCATTTGGTGTCCGTCCGTGATAGCTGAGGTTTCTCCATTTTGGAAATGTAACTGTAAATATTCAAATTATGACACTAAATGAGAACCGACACATCCTGAGACTTGATTTCCATGAGGCTATGGAACATCTCACGGCAGAGACTAGTTTAGTGTCTCGTCTTGACAGCTGGATCTCTATCAGATGGGCTTTAGACATTCGGCTTTCCCTGAGCAACTCAAATCTCCATAGTGTTGTTTTTAAAGCCATTGTTGATTTGTGCATCTAAATTTCGCCTCAATTCTTAAAATTCTCAATTCGTCAAAAAAATAAAAAAATAATCAAGTTTAAACAGATCGTTTATGTCTCTGTGCAGTCTTCAGAGGGATCCCAGCATTGGAAACAAGTGAATGGTTTATATTTTAATGGCGTCCCGGATCATGTCGGAGGATTATGTGTTTGTTCGGAGCATTTTGTTTTGTAAACGAGGCACAGTGTAATAGAGAGTTTTGCAAAGAAATTTTGTTGAAAGATGAAGCAGCAATGAAGCAAGCCTTAAAGGAGAACTCCGGTGCAAAACGAACCTTTGGTCTAATAAAACATCGGTACCTAGTCAACCGTTCTCTGAGATTTGTTTTCATGATAATTGAATGTAAAGAGTTTTAACTCTAAAAACTGTTTAGCGTATAATGCTAGTACTGGGGGCATTTACTAAGTAAAAAGAAATCGCTAGTTTATACCACTAACAAGGCTCAAAATAGCCCCACACTTACACAGTAACATAATGTTAAGACAAAAGTTCACTTCGTGTATACAGACAGGAGCCATCTTTGAAAATAGTCTCGATAAGTCGATCCCCGAACGCCGTTCATACAGTTCAGATCACACGTCATTCATGGTTTGACTTGTCGTAACTCAAACGTAGACGCGAAAGGCGAAGCTTGAATTAACGGGTTTGGCTAATGTACTTTCAAGATGGAGGGGCAACATGGCGACCGACATTAGAACCCCTTACCCGTATGTATTTTCAATGGCATATTATAAACTCACGAGAATACTTTATTACTTGAATGAAGTAAATATACATTAATGAGCAAATATATTTTTGAAAGAACTAAGTGTTTTTAGCTAAGAATAAACTAAAAGAGTTACACAGTGTGGCTTTAACATACAATAGCATCCCTTGGGAGCAAATCAAAACTCTGATTTGTCAAAACATTTGATTTTTGATCACACTTTTGAGTGTAATTTAATTTTAAGAAATCAAGCTGTGGAAATAATAGGCAAATCTAATAATATTCTACCACTTTTTCTGGTATCAAAACCAAAATAGTCGAAACTACAATTGATCTTAGACCAGAACAGAGGACCCAGGAGAACGTCAAGACTGGCATAGCGCTGCAGTCTGTGTGAGGCCCCTGGAGAGGAAAGACAACCCAAAACACCCACAGAACTGACCACTCCTGTGACTCAACCCTGACTCACTCAAACCCTCTGATCTTTCACACTTCTTCACTCGGGCCCTTAGAAGTCTGACAGACCATATTTATTGCTGTGGAATAAGACTCTTAAAACGGGATCTTTAAGAGAGACCATCCGACTAAACACAGGGATTCAGCCAATAGCCCGGGTTGACAGAGTTACTGTTGTTTGTTGCAAGGCAAGAAACGACTTTACTTTATGTAAGGCACAGATTTCATGAAGCGATTTTACAGGTATTTTAGCATTTTAATAATAATTTGCAATAATTTGCAAATTATTTTGTAAAATAACATTTTATATATGTAATTTTATAATATTATTTTTAATACACTATCTTTTTAAAGTTTGAATTCTATGGAACCTTGTTTCCGCCATAGAATGAAAAATATAAAAGGTAATTGCAACTTTTTATCTCACAATTCTGTCTTTTTTCTCACAATTGCGAGTTTACTTCTCACAATTCTGACATTATTTCTCAGAATTGCGTGATGTAAAGTCGCAATTGCGAGATACAAAGTCAGAATTGCGAGTAAATAAAGTCGCAATTGCGAGATTTACATTCAGAATTGTGAGACATACAGTCAGAATTGCGAGTTATAAAGTCAGAATTACGAGATATAGTCAGAATTGCGAGTTATAAAGTCAGAATTGCATGATATAAAGTCAGAATTGCGAGATATAAAGTCACAATTGCGAGATATAAAGTCAGAATTGCGTAATATAAAGTCGCAATTGCGAGATATAAAGTCAGAATTGCGAGATATAAAGTCAGAATTGCATGATTTAAAGTCGCAATTGCGAGATATAAAGTCAGAATTGCGAGATATAAAGTCAGAATTGTGTGATATAAAGTCAGAATTGCGAGTTATAAAGTCAGAATTGCGTGATATAAAGTCAGAATTGCGAGATTTAAACTATTCTGAGGGGGAAAAAGTTGTCTTTTTTTCCCCTTGGAATTGGCCTGATAAGTCGCAATTGCAAGTTTATATCACAATTCTGAGAAAAGATATCAGAATTTCGACATATAAACTCGCAATTATGTGTTATAAAGTCAGAATTGCGAGGTGTAAACTCGCAATTGTGAGAAAAAAAGTCCGAATTGTGAGATAAAAAGCCGCATTTCTGTCTTTTTTTCTCAGAATTGCGACTTTATATCACGCAATTCTGACTTTATATCTCACAATTCTGACTTTTTATCATGCATTTC